TTAACTCCAGCAGATACAAGCCTAGCCTATCCAACCTTTCCTCATCATTCAACTCATCCATTCCAGGTATTAGTCGAGTAAAGATTCTTTGAACTGCTTTAATGCATTTGCATCCTTCCCTTATTAAGAAGAATAATACTGTACACAGTACTCTAGGTCTGGTCTCACCAGTGGCCTAAATAACTGAAGCATAAGCTCCCTACTTTTGCATTGAATTCCCCTTGCAATAAATGATACCATTCTTTTATCTTTCCTAATTACATGCTGTACCTTCATCCTAACCTTTTGTATGCCATGCACTCAGACACCTAGCAGCCTCTGTATCTCAGAACTATACAATCTCTCCCATTGAGGTAATAAATTTCTTTTTATTTATGCACTTTCATACATTGTACTTCATTTGCCAGACCTTTGCCCATTCATTTAAGATAGCCACATCTTTTTCTAGTCTCCTTAAATCCTCTTCACATCTTAGCCATCTTGCTTTGTGTCATCAGCAGGTTTAGCAGACATACCTTCAGTCTGTTCATCAAAGTCATTCATAAAAACTAAAAGGTTGCGTGTCCAGCACTGATCACTATGGCACACCACTCATTACATCTTGCCAACTAGAAAATAGACTCATTTATGCTTACTCTGATTCTTGTTAGCTAGGCAATCTTCTATCCATAGCTTCTTCTACCTATTATCCCTGATACCAGGAAATTTTATTTCCACAATAAAATCTGACGTTTCACCTCATCAGATGTTGTCTGGAAAAAAAGTACAGTATGTCTATAGCACATGATACTCCCTCATTGCACTCTGATAAATTGGTGAAATATAACTTCCCTTTCACAAAACAATGGTGACTCTGCTGGATTACAATGAACTTCTCAAAGTACCCTACTATAATCAACTTCATAATACTTTGCAACATCTTCCCTGTGATAGATGTCAATCTAGCTTGCCTGTAGTTTCCTGGCTTTCTGTTTCTCATCATTTTTGAATAATGGAGTTACATTTGCTGCTTTCCTATCTAATGGAGTCTTCCCAATTTTGGAAAATTGAAAGTAAAGCATCAAGTATCTCAGGAACGACTTATTTAATTGTAGGTATCGTGGATATTGTGGTCCATCAATATCCAAGAACTTTTCAATGCATGGGTTTGAAGACCTGCTCAGTACCACTTTCCTAGTGTTGATAATTTTCTTGAGTTCTTCTGTCTCTTCTATTAACTGGAATGTCCATTCTATTGTCTACAGTCAAAACAGATAGAAAATACCTGTCTAATCGATCTGCCAACTCCCTATTTTCTATTATTAATTCCCCTGACTCATTTCCATGATGCAAATGCTCACTTTATTAACTTTTCTTGAATTAAACATCTACAGCAACTCCGTTTTATATTTTCAGTCGCAGTCCTCAAATAAACCTGTTGGACTATAACCTGGTGTCCTGTGATTTTTGAACTTGTCCACCCCAGTCCAACACCAGCACCTCTCCATCATCTTCTTTAAGTGTGTGAATGTCTAACTTTTTTATTTAACCATGAGTGGTGGGTGCTCCCTGGATCTTTCTTTCTTTGTTGTATTTTCTTTTTGCTATTTTGTGTATTTTGAAATATCCCTTTAAATATCTGCCGCAGTATTTGTATTGACCAATCATTTAACTTAATTGGCTAGGTTCAATTTAACAAGTTCTGCTTTCATGTCCTCATAATCACCATCATGCAAGTTTAAAATATATGTCATCCCAGTATACAAACACGCTCCCTCAAAATGAATGCAAAATTCAATCATATTACGTGCAATGCTGCCGAGGGTGTGTTCAATATGAGGCTATTAATTAATCCCATCTCATTGCACATTACCAGGTCTGGTATAGCCAGCTCCCTGGTAGGTTGTACATTGTGCTATTCCATGAAACTATCTCAAAGACATTTTATGACCTCATTACCTGCTTGCCCTGTATCCCACTGGACATTTCATAAGACGTTATCTTGTGACATTCCTCTTGTTCAGTCTAGATTCTTTAAAACTGGCTTTCATTTCATATTAGTAGGTTAATCCCTCATATTTCATTATGGAACATATTCTGTTCCAAACCGACTTACATAAAACGTGTGAAGTAGAAGCACTAGTAGACCATTCGGTCCTTCAAGCCTGCTCCGCCATTCAGTAAGATCACGGCCGATTGTTTGTTTTGAATCCCACATTCCCATCTACGCTGACAAGCCTTGATTTCCCTGTGTAGCAAGAATTTATTCAGCCCGTCTTAAAAATATTCAATGTCTCACCTCCACCGCCTTCTGAAGCAGTGTTCCAAAATCGCACAATACGCTGAGAGAGACAAAAAAAAATCCCCTCATCCCTGCCCTGAAAGTCCAACCAGTTTTGTTTTTGCTGATCCTAGTTCTGTTTTATGACATCGTCCCTTTGATACCAATAAATTTAATCTGCTGTTTGTATTGGAGTACTGCGGGTACACCACGCCCCCATAGATTGCAGCAGTTCAAGAAGAAAGGTCACCACCATCTCCTCAAGTACAGTTAGGAATGGGCAATAACTGCCGGCCTAGACTGCAACATCCTGTGGGAGGAAAAAGTAATGAAGCTCTCCTGATTCTGCTTCTCCTTTCCCCATCCAAGACTTGGCCAGATTAAAGATAGAATCATGACAGGTGTTAATCCTATGATAGTGTCTGTCTTGCCGTAGTAGATCACGCCAAATTTTTACATTTTTTCTTTACATAATCATTGCCGGAACTTCAATCAAATGATCCTTAAGCGATTCTCCAAAAGTTATTACACTAATCTCATACAAACAATGTGGAGCGAATTGAGAGATGTCAGTCCCTGGCGAAGCGCTGTGTCAGAACTGGGATAATTTATATAGATTTACTTATTCTACAAAATCACTGTATCAGGACAATGAAATGTGGATTGCAGCAGACAGCACCCAAAGAAGGGTCTACGCCCGAAACCTCAGCTTTCCTGCTCCTCTGATGCTGCTTGGCCTGCTGTGTTCATCCAGCTCTACACCTTGTTATCTCAGATTCTCCAGCATCTGCAGTTCCTACCATCTCTGAAACAATGATCAGAACCAGTTAGTTTTGCATGAATTATCCATCAGCTAAAGTACCGAACGAAAACTAAAAAGAACAACTATGATGGGGTTCCTTTAAAGTCTTGTTCAGCCAATGGTGAAAACATATTTGTGAAGGAATGGGGGCAACAGATAATTGGATGGAAATTGTATCAATCCCAAGGGCTGTAGATTTAAGATACGCTTAGCCAAAAGATAAATGGACCAAACTTACACATAAGCCAGAGCAAGGATAATAGTGCCTATTCCAAGAGTCTGGGATACAAATAATGTATCAAATGTCGCCGTTCCTTTCTCAAATACAATTGTATTTTACATTGTCCATATAAAACTCCACTGTCAAACTCCACTGTGACAGGAAGCAATATTGAGAATGTTCTAATGCAATTGTGAGATGGTTTTGCATGCTGACAGTTTGTATAAAATAAGTTGGCGTGAGGTTAGCATAATGCAAGCTGATAAATGGATTTATTATCTCAGCAATAGACTCACTAAATCGCGATGGAAATTGAGTGAATGTGTTTGACACCGCCGCCCCCCTCACCCACCTTTTCTCCGGGAATTATTTCATTGTCACAACGGGGAGCTGTCATGTTCCACTGAACTTATTCCCCTCTCTCTCTCGTAACATGTTAGGTTTCTGCTGACAGTTCTGATGTCTCACTGTAGCGAGATGACCTTTATGACAGAGGCAGACATGTTTACCTTCCCGTTCCCCCGCTCGTTAGCAAGCTTTTATTTTGATTTCCTTGCCTTGACTGTAATTACAATCCCTGCAGCTTTCGCGCATTTTATATGACCTGCGATGTATTGTAAACTGCTGCCAATAACCTCTTTTGTCTCTCGCTTCCCTTTTACTGAATTTCGGTCAGAACCTCTTCAGCATTCCCCTAATCTGGGATTTCAAGGTATTGTAGTAACAATTTTCTCACGGTTTTAACCGTGTCTGGATCCATTAGTGAACGGCTGCTGCCTGATCCTTTATTCTTTTGGGGGGTATCCAGGGCAGAAGCTCCCAATACTGCGCTTTAATAGAAACAAAAGTAGAGACCACTGGAAAAGCTCAGCAGTTCTGGCAGCATCTGTGAAGAGAAATCAGAGTTAACGTTTCAGGTCCAGTGACCCTTCCTCAGAACGTTTCACTTTAATAGCTCCGGGTGCATCACGCTGACGAATGGCACTCTTACTAATTGTGACTAACCTGTAACCACTTGTAAATCAGTAAGTAGTCAGAATAAAACTCGATGTATTTCCGACGTTGGGTGATGGGGGATGGGGACCATGGGATGCTACATTTGTTTCTTGCTGCACGCTTGTTGTTGACATTGAACTCTTTGACTGGCGAGGTAGTGAAACAACATAGGGGACTATTAATGCTGTGAAATAGAAAGAGGCAGAAAACCTCTCTAGAATTCATTGAAATACATCTGCGTCACTGACAAGAACGGGAGGGAGGGATGCAAGTGACAATTTGGTTCTGAGGTCTATGACAGCACAGTTGTGTGTGTGTGTATATATAGGTACCACATTGTTGCAGTACCTCTCCGCTGGTTTTGTGCAATGCTCTGGAGACAGATGCATGAAGTAGAGGGAAGCTTGACTCTGTTAAGGTGTAAAACCCACCTGCTGTGCCGGCAAGTTGCATCCTATTCTTCACAAGGTAACCTCGTCATTCTGTTTGAGTGAGAGGTTCGGCAATTAGTGTGTGCGCCGCTGAAATCAGGGCTCCCCCAATGTGAAACCTCCACACACACATCAGCTCTGTGCCTCGCTTTATACGGTTGGACTCCTCCTCCTCTTCCCCCACTCCTCTCCCCCGCCCCTTTTATTTTCGTTAAACTCTTGTTTCTTGCACTTGACACACACACACACACTCACACACACGAAATCAGCAGGAGTTCAGGCAGCAACGATATGTCAGGCTCCGGCAGGAAGGAATTCGACGTGAAACACATTCTGCGGCTTCGCTGGAAACTGTTCAATCACCCACCGTCCAGCTCAGGCCAACAGCAGCAACAGGACAGCTTTGAGCACTGGGGCACCAGCCAGAACAGGCTGAAAAATCACAGTCACGACAGGGGCACCGGCTCCTGGAAAAAAAGCAGCGCCTTCAATGGCATCCTGCCCCCGGGACACAGCAGAGGTGGCACCTTGCAGTGCCAGACACAGCAACGCACTGTCTTTTACGTGGAAACGCTGGAGGAAGTGCCCAGGTTAGAGTTTACCGGGGAGAGCACGGCAACGCTGCAAGAAGTGAAGAAGGAACTGGTCACCACTGATTGTTGTGAGGGAACAGGTGATGGATGCCTGCACAGGTATACATAGCTTTCAACCTCTTAAAGTAACTTTGCTTTAAAAAAAACAATCCCAGTTGTTTTAAAATCTTGCCTTTTGCATCCACACAGTTTGACATAAAATAGACACGGTCTCTGAGTTAGCTTCTTAGCAATAAGTTTGAGAAAATGATAATGATAATTACAATCTTATACGAAGGGATAGACTGGCTCAACTTGTGTCTTAGATAATGTCCAAGCAGCTATATTTGTAACACTCATTGTGAATTAGTCTGTTGTAAAAGCAAATGAACATAAATTGTCATTGCAAGATTTACAAACACTCCCACGCATACACATGCTGCCAAATTACTCATTGTGAATCTTATATATCAGTGAATTCTTGTTTTAGAATATCTTCCCTGAATGCCTAAAATCTGATTAATTATTTATAGGGTGGTTGTCCCAGGGAGGTAGGATGTCAGTCTGGTTCATTGTGTGTTTAATAATCAGTTACAATGTAGCAATGGTGGAGATGTGCAGGTTGGTTTCGAGATGCTATCTTGATCTGGATCAAGATGAGGAATTGGAAGGAAGGGAGAATAAATAATAAAAGAAGGGAGCCTTCTCCTTTTCACTTACCATAACTACTCCCTACCTCTCCACTGACCAAAAAAAACTTCTCTTCCTGTCTCAGCTGACTGCACTGTGTCAGCCATGGTTTGGTTGTCTAAGGAGTAATTATACTCAAGTAACTCATCAGTGTTCCAAGTTCTCATTTCTGAGTCAAGAAAGTGGCTACTCGACTGTGCCAGACTTCACAATCATGTCAAATTTTGTCCTGGTTCAGTGTCCAATACACAGCAGAGCTCAAAAATCATGGTTTAATAACCTTTCATCTCTTAGCCCCACAGACCACTCCAACGATAGTGTTCCTTTGTTTCTCCAGCAAAATAAGGAGTAAACAAGACACTTATGAATTTCATGAAGCACTTTATGTGCTTTATATAACAACAGAAGAACTTGAAACCTCACCTTCAAAAGCAGTCCATGTAATGTATCTAAAAGAGGCTATGTTATGTAACTTTCTATTTGGCCCAAGAGGAAAAATACCAACATGAATTTACCCTCAAATACTTAAAGTTCCACCCTGCAATTTACACGATTTGTGTTTTTAATCCATCATTTTTGTAGTTATTTTAATCAACTTGTTTGGACATACTATGACACACGTCCACAGCAGAAGGGACTTGAAACCCCTGACCCAGAGGTAGTTACAAGTAGTGTATAACTTTCAAACTGTCTAGTTGTGCACTTTATTCATTGAGAGAAGAAACAGGAATGATCGTATCTGGTTGAATTTCCTCTAGAGAGGTGTTAATGCCACATTTTTTCACACCCCATTTCTATTTTCTATGAAATACTATATAAACAAAGAAAATGTTTAAGTGACAAATAAATACATTCAAATAGAATATGTTGAGTTTTCTTTAATTACTTTGTGAGAGTATTATTAAATCATTCCCAAACCTGCAATTAACGTAGCTAAGGAAATTAAGCTCCTCTCTCTATTAATAAAGGTATAGACTCAAAATAAGAAATTCTGTTGATAGAAAAGCAATTGGTTTATCATTAATAGAAAAAAGGTGAAAAGTAAAATCATATTTTGTTTCTGTTTCTCTGTGTTGAGTTAAACATTGGTGAATAACTTATTTCCAGCACAATAAAATAAAGATTTGTTCTGGATTGTGATCACTGCTATTATTTTATTATTAATTAATGAACATCAATTGGTTTGACATGCTGAAATATTAGTTTGCAAAAAAAAAGGGCTAAATTGAAAAACATTTGCATTTTTATCGAACATTGTTCAGCCACCAGATCTCTCAAAGTACTCTATGACAAATGAATAAATTACGAAATGAGGCCACTATTGTAATTGTGACAGCTAATGTGCCCTCAACAAAATTCCCAGAGTCAGCAAAGTGCCATTTCTGAATTTGAGCACAAAAGTCTGAGGGTGTGCTGCAGTGTCAGAGGTGTTATTTTGCAGCCAAGATGTTAAACCAAGGCTCCTTGGATTGGTCTAAAAAATCTCATGGCACTATTTTGAAGAAGTGTTGTCCCCAGTATGCTGCCCAATATTCATTTCTCAATCAGCAATTTTTTAAATAAAAGGAAATTAGCTGCCTGATTCATACATTATGACTGTGATTACACTGACAATGTACTTACTTGACTGCAAAGCAGCTTGGGTTATGCTGACCTCCTAAAGGGTGCTACAGAAATGCTAATCTTTCTATTAATGTAACCTGTCAGATAGGAATCCTACTGGTTTGCATTGTACACTAGTCTTATCTACCATCCTATTTTACACTCACTGATCATCATTGCGCTCAATTCCACCAATTGCTTGATGATCAGGTTACAGTAGAATGGCTCCCATGTTTTGATTTTTGTTGAAAATTGCTTCAATTTCCTTCTGAAGGCTTGGCTGAAGTTATGCAGAATTTAAAGCATGGAAACAGGCCTTTTAGCTCAACTGATGAACGCTAGTGTTTGTGCTCCACACAAGCCTCCTCACATTCTACTTTATCTGACCCTATTAGCTTAATCTTCTGTTGCTTTCTCCTGCACGTGTTTATTGAGCTGTTGCATAAATCTTAATCATGCCATTATTTTAACAGAAAGAGTGAGCGAGAATCCAAAGAAAAGGCAAAGACTATCAAAAATTTGCAACCACTAGCTGCATCTTCAAGTCATCCACAATGGGAAATTGGGAAGAGTTTTCAATAAGCAATAGTTGTGACTTAGTTAAACTACATGGGTAATAATACGACCACAGCAGAAAGCAGGCTGCAGTGTAATCTGGACCAATTACTCTCCAAGTGGCCATAAACCAGACACTAAAGAAGCGGTAGGTTGTCTGACGTTGAAGCCATTGGACAATTTAAAGTGCTGCAACTCTCTTGTGAACAAAGTTAGAGCTTCTTGAATAAAAGGGACAATAGATGTATGAATATAAAAAGATACAAAATTGGCTGAGTGACAGAAAACAGAGGGTAGTTGTTAATGGATATTTTTTCCAGCCTGGAAGAAGGTTTGCAGTGGAGTTCCACAGGAGTTGCTGCAAAGATCCCAGATCTTCCAGATATATATTAATGACCAAGCCCTTGTTATGTAGAGTTCAATTTGAAAATTTGCAATGACACAATACTTGTAAATATCTGTGGTGTGAATAATGTAAAACTTCAGAAGGGTGTGGACAGGTTGGTGGAATGGGTGATCAAGTGGCAGACTAGGGAAGTGTGAATTAATTTATTTTCACGGGACGAACATGGAGAGAGAGTATAAACTAAAAGATATAATTCTATGAGATGATGCAGCAACAGAGGGACCTGTGTATATGTATAGATAAATCATTAGAATTACAGGGCAGGTTGAGAGCATGGTTAATGAAGCATATGATATCTTGGGCTTTACCAACAGGAACTTACAGTACAAAAACAAGGAAGTTATGTGGAACTTGGAAATAAATACTGGTTCAACCCCAGTTGGAGTATTGTGTCCAATTCGGGGTAGCAGATGTTAGAAAGGATGTAAAGGCATTTAAGAAGTCATAGGAAAGATTCTCAAAATTGTAATTCAAACATTGCAGCTGGTAAACATATTCGCATCAGAGAAGAATATTAGATTAGCCTCACAGAATCTCAGAATGGCTTTAGCACCATAGGAGCAACTCACCTGATGCATCTCCCCTACTTCTCAAAAATGCACCCAGGGTAAGCAAATTCAGTTACATAGATAGGTTGGAGAAATTAGACTGTTCTTCTTTATCAAAAGAAGGTGGAGAGAAGACTTAACCAAAGTGTTCAAAGTCATCAGCAGTCCGGACACAGCCGGAAGGGAAATGGTGTTATCAAATTGTAGAATCATAGAGAACAAAAAAGACACAGTTTTAAGGTAATCAGCAAAAGAAACTGTCATGCAGTCATGAGGAGAAACATTTTCATGTGAAAGTTTAGCATTTGGGATGCACTGACTGAGAGTGGCTAGACACAAGCTTAATCACAGCGTTCTAGAGGGAATTGCTTGGGTGTAAGGGGAGAAAGTAGGGGAGACGCATCAGTTGAGTTGCTCCTTTGGTGCGAAAGTCATTCTGAGATTCTGTGAGGCTAATCCAATATTCTTCTCTGATGCGAACATGTTTACCAGCTGCAATGCTTGAATTACAATCAGGAATGAGTATCCTGACCAGATTTTCCCCATTGAAGCCCAAAAGTGCTGCTGTCATTGCACCACACTTGGTGCTTCTAAAACCGAGTTCTGCTATTTCTATGTTGATGGAGCATGTTCCTGGGAACTTACTAGTCCTCGTGCCTCTAAAGGAGAGCCTTTAAACAATGGGGTATTTTATGAATAGTTACAGGGATGATGGATATCAGTTATAAGAGACACCTGGGTTCAGGTTCACAGTTCATTGAAAGTGGCATTGCAGGTAGAGAGGTTGGTGAAGAAGGTGATTAGCACACTTGCCTTCATTGGTCAGAGCATTGAGTATAGGAGTTGGGATGTCATGTTGCGGCTGTGCAGGACATGGATGAGACCACTTTAGGAGTACTGTGCTCAGTTCTATTTGCCACACTATAAGAAGGATATTATTAAATTGGAAATGGTGCAGAAAAGATTTATAACAATGTTACTGGAACTGGAGGGTTTGTGGGTTATAAGGAGAGGTTGGATAAGCTAGGAAATTTTTTTCCCTGGAGTGTAGGAGGTTGAGGGATCACCTTACCGAGGTTTATAAAATCATGAGAGGCATAGATAAGGTGAAAAGCCAAGATCTTTTCTGTAGTGTAGGCAATTTCAAATCTACAGAACATAGGCTTAAGCGGAGGGGGACAAATTTAAAAGGGACCTGAGGCATGACTTTTTTTTGTGAGTATATGGAATGAACTCCCAAAGGAAGTGGTAGATGTAGGTACAGTTGCAACATTTAAACAAAATTTGGACAGGTAAATGAATAGAAAAGGTTCAGAGGG